GCACCTGTGTGTGTGTGTGCACGTGGGGGGTGTGCACCTGTGTGTGTGTCTGTGCGTGCATGTGGGGGGGGTGCGCCTGTATGTGTGTGTGTGTGTGTGCGCACGTGGGGGTGTGCACCTGTTTGCATGTGCGTGTGTGTGCGCACGTTTGGGGGTGCGCCTGTGTGCGTGTGTATATGTGTATGTGTGCGCGCATGTAGGGGGGGTGCACCTGTATATGTGTGTGTGTGTGCACGCGCATATGGGGTGTGTGCGCCTGTGTGTGCATGTGTGTGTGTGTGCACGTGGGGGGGTGCACATGTGTGTGTGTCTGTGTGCGCCTGTGTGTGTGTGTGTGTGCGTGTGGGAGTGGGGGCGCGTGGGGGGGTGTGTGGGAGTGGAGGCGCGGGTGTGTGTGTGTGGGAGTGGGGAGCTGTGGGAGGGAGTGGGGGCGCGTGGGGGTTATTTTGGTGGGAGGGACGCGTGGCCCCAGACACCAGCTGGCCAAGAGCCGTGCAGGGAGCTGGTCGGGCCGCAGGGGGGAGGACGGGAGGTTCGTGGTTGTTCGAGGAGGCTCCGTCCTCTCCCAGGAGCTGGGGGGGGGGGTCCCCAGGAATGGCAGCTCCTCCTGGCCCGTCTGGAAGCTCAGCCAGGAGCCAGGCCCCAGCGGGGGGGCGACGCAGCCGGCAAGTGCTCTGGGGTGACCCTGGCAGGGGGGCTTGGACGCAGGGCGAGGAGCCGGCCTGGGCTCGGGCTCGTGTCATTAAGTCGCCTGCTCCCGTCTGCTCGGCAGGGGAAGCTGCAGATGTGGGTGGACATTTTCCCAGAGAGTTTTGGCCCCCCAGGCCCTGCCTTCAACATCACCCCACGGATGCCCAAACGGTGAGTGGGACAAACCCCCACTGCCCTAGGCAGCTTCCCGAGCCGGTGAACCCTGGCACAGCACAAACCCAGCACGCCCAGGAGAGGGCTGGCAGCTCTGGGGCAGTGTGCAGCCCCACAGAGCCTGGCCAGGCCCCACCTCACCAGCCTGCCACGCTGAGCACAGAGGCCACGCCCCACCTCATCAACCTGCCACGCTGAGCACAGGGGCCAGGCCCCACCTCGCCCAGCCTGCCACGCTGAGCACAGGGGCCACTCCCCAGCCCTGGCCATGCCCCATCTGCAGCTCCTTCTCTGAAGTGTGAAGCCTGCTCTGGGCACACTCTCCCCTTCAGTGCCGCAGGTGGGGAGTTCTCTGAAAGCCAGCGGTCAGTGGAGTCTCCCACTGCCCGGGGGCTCCCATGGCCTCTGTGTTCTCCAGAGCCCAGGCCCGCAGGGCAGCCTGAGGGTACCAGCCCCCAGACCCCTGGGCTGTGACCAGCCTCCAACCAGCCAATGCTACCAGCGCTGCCCCCTCCCTAGGTACGAGCTGCGCTGCGTCGTCTGGAACACGCGGGACGTGGATCTGCGGGACACCAGCATCACGGGGCAGAGGATGAGCGACATCTATGTGAAAGGGTGAGGGCCTGCAGCCTGCACCCTTGGGCCCCAGGGATCCCAAGCCACGGGCCTTCCAGGGGACCGCACCACGGCCCCCAGCCAGGCATTCCTGGGAAGCAGCCAACGCCCAGTGGGGATGAAACGGGGCTGGAGCCAGCAACATGAACGCTGAGAAAACGGACAGGCTGAGAGCAGCACCTCCTGTTCTACACTCTCGTCACACAAACCTCGGCTGGTGCCTGGGCCCCTCAATTCCAGCCTGTGGCCCCTGGGGCTCCCCACCCTGCCAGTGCCCCTCACTCCCGACCCACAGCCCCCTGCTGTCCCAGCCCTGGGGCTCCCCACCCCGCTGGTGCCCCTCAATCCTGACCCGCAGCCCGCTGCTGTCCCAGACGTGGGCTGCCCACTCTGCCAGTGACCCCAGTGCTGACCCCCAGTAGCACTGAAGGTAAGTCTCTCTGCATAGCTCAGTGGGTCTCTAATGGGTTGATGCTGGCAGGTGTGGGAATTGCTGGCTGCTCAGTATCAATATGGCTCTTGGTTCCTTTCTCTGAGACTTTCTTTGTTCTGTGGGTGCTGCATCGGGACGTTAGCTGAGTGCTCTGGGGCCCAGCCAGTCTGCTGTTGGGGCCTTCTGCAACCAGCCCCTGGCAGGCAGGCAGTGGCAGAGATGCTATCGAGGGCCCTGAGCCAACAACCACCAGCATAAGAGACGACTTCAGAGCAAGCCCCCAAGGTCTGTGTTGGTTGTAGGCAGCCAGCAGTTCCCGGGACTGCACTGGTAGAGAGACAGGAGTGGGGCCCGGGGCAGAGTGGGGGGTCAAGCGCCCCCCGGGAACGCCAGAAGTTAGCCCCTATGGGCGCAGGATGTCTCTGGTTTTCTCCCGAGCTCCAGCCGCTCTGGGCCCCTCCTGAGCAGAGCTGGCCCGTCGAGCACAGAGCTAGAAAGCGGGAAAGGCAGGAGGCCCCGAGCTGAGAGGCCTGATCCAGGAGCGGTGGAGGGTTCTGCCTTGTTCCAACCCCCCAGCTCCTCCCAACCCCCAGGTCCTGCACATGGCCCTTCCCATCAGCTGTGCACTCCCCACCAGGCCTGGGCTAGCTGGGAAGGGAATGGAGTACGGGCATGTGTGATGGGGTAGTCTGCCCCTTAGGGGCAGTACTGCCTACTGGTCAGTCCAGCCCACCCCTGGCATGGCTCTTTCAGAGCCGAAAGGTCTGATTATGGACACGAGGACCTGGGCGATATGGTAAGTAGGGAGGGAACCTGGTACTGTTTCTTTAAGGGCCTGGGCCCAGGAGCCTTGCAGAGTTGGGGATGAGCTGGGCGAAGGGGCCGGTATAAATGCTGCCTCCTCGGGCAGGGCAGGGCAGATGTTGGCAGTCGCTGGGCGTGCAGGGAGGCTCTGGCAGGGTCTGCGTTAGCCAGGTGCAGACTCCAGCCAGAGCCGCCTGCCAGGCCCTGCGAGCCTGAGGAGCGAATGGGGCCAGCACCGGCTGGTGGGTGACAAGCTCTGGGGGCAGGGCTGGGGCTCCGAGACCAAACAAGCCCCCGGAGGGCACTGGCCACCGAGCGGAGAGGGCCGGCGTCAGAGCACCCTGAGGGCCGGATCCCGCTTTGTTCTGGAGCTCGGAGAATGAGCTTTGTCATAAATCAACTTCCGATTTTGTCACGACTATTTATAGTAACAGGGACGGGTCACGGACAATAAACAAACTTCACGGAAGCCCGTGACCCGTCCGTGACTGGTACTAAAAATAGGGAGGGGCTGATGGGGGGGGATGACTGAAGCCCACAGCAGGGGAGGGGAAGAGAGCCCCAGCCCCACTCTATGGGGTGCAGTGTCACACAGTGAGTCAGGAAGGTGCAGTATCGCGTGGTGAGGCAGGGTGCCGTGTCGCATGACGGGGCAGGGAGGGTGTAGTGTTGCATGGCGGGGCAGGGCAGGTGCAGTGTCGCATGGTGGGTGAGGCGGGGTGCAGTGTTGCACGGTGAGACAGGGAGGGTGCAGTGTTGCACGGTGAGACAGGGAGGGTGCAGTGTCGCACGGTGGGTGAGGCAGGGTGCAGTGTCGCACAGTGGGGCAGGTTGGGTGCAGTGTCGCACGGTGGGTGAGGCGGGGTGCAGTGTCGCACGATGCGGCAGGGTGCAGTGTCGCACGGCGGGGCAGGGTGGGTGCAGTGTCGCACAGTGAGGGAGGGTGCAGTGTCACACGGTGAGGCAGGGCAGGTGTAGTGTCACACGGTGGGTGAGGCGGGGTGCGGTGAGGCAGGGAGGGTGCAGTGTCGCACGGTGGGGCAGAGTGCAGTGTCACACGGTGAGGCAGGGCGGGGTGCAGTGTCGCACGGTGCGGCAGGGTGCAGTGTCGCACGGTGAGGCAGGGCGGGGTGCAGTGTCGTACAGTGGGGCAGGGTGCTGTGGGACCCGCATGCCCTACAGCCTCACCTCCATTCACACCCCAGCCTCGGGCTCCTTGTTGCAGGTGGCTGGATGGCCTGGAGGAGGAGAGGCAGAGAACCGATGTCCACTACAGGTCCCTGGGAGGAGAGGGCAACTTCAACTGGAGGTTCATCTTCCCCTTCGAGTTCCTGCCCATGGAGCAGGTCTGCGTCCTGCCCGAGAAGGTGGGTGCTGCTCGCCTTGGGATCCGCTTCCCTACGGCAGCACTGCCTGCTCTGGGCCCCACCCACTGACGCAGCTGTTCTGAGGGGCAGGTAGGGCCCTGGCTGTGACTCAGGCTGGCCAGTCCCCCCAGCAGTTTGAACCCGATTCCTGCCGTGCCCCTGGCCGGACTCCCAGCATGCTCCGCTACCTACCCGGGGCACGACCTCCGGCCCTAAATCAGCAGAGGCTGCTGGATGCCCTGCCCCTCTACGGCCGGGTCCTCCAGCCTGTCTCCTGCTCCAGGTTTGTCCTCTCCCCTCCTGGCCGGAGCGGTGACCCAGCTGACCGGCTTTGGGGCTAGGCTGCTGGGCAGAGCACTGGCCAGGCCGGGGGAAAGGGGATTGACAGTGCTGCCACCTGGTGCGGGGGGAGGGCATTGCAGCAGCTGGCCCTACCCCCACAGGCACCTCTGCTTCTGGACTGCCAGCATCATGTGGCCTGATCTGCGCCCTCACATCACGACCTCCCCTGGGGAGCCCCAGCTCCTGCCCCTGCCCCAGGCTGGCAGGCTGCAGCTGTCCACTAACGTGGGGGAGTTTCCACCTGCAAACCTGCCTCTGAGCCCTGACCGCAGCACCCTGAGCCTCTGCTGGGGCATTAACCCTTCAAAGTCTGCAGACCTATAACCAGCCATTCATTTGGCTGGCAACTTGGAAAGTGCCCCAGCAGCCTGGCGCGTCCGCCCACGCTGCATCCCCTTGGCAGGCCACATGCTGGGGCTGCCCTTTCCCCACCCAGCTGGGTCACCCTGTCCCCAGCTGGTATGTGCTGGCCACAGACCCCAGCCTCTCAGCAGCTGCCCTGCCCCCAGCCTGAGGGGCCCCACTCTGCTTACAGCAACATCTCTGGAGCCTGGATGAGACGGTGCTGAAGGTGCCCCCCAAGCTCATCCTCCAGGTGTGGGACAACGACAAGTTCTCGGCTGACGATTTTCTCGGTGAGGCCTTTCCCCAGGCGTTTCCCCTGCAGCCCAGGCGGCCACAGAGTGTTACGTTGGCCCTGCCCACAGGTTGCTGTAGGCACGTCCCCACCTCGCTAATGATCTTGTACGTTTCTGTCCCCAAGAGCAGCCCGGATGCTGCAGGGCCAATGAAATGCAGTCACTTCTGGGGTGCAAAACCATGCCCCGGTCCCTGCACAAAGGGGCAAGAGCAGCCGTGTTGGCAGAGGGCACTGAATGGCTCCCCTGCTATGAGGCGCAGCACTCTGGGATCGTCCCCATCCCTCTAGGGCAGGCAGGGCCTCTGTAAGGTCCTCCCTAGGGCACCCTTGGGCAGCGTGAAGGGCTCCATCGCCCTCCTGCATGCGCCACCGCCTGCAGCCTGGTCCCCGGGCTGTCCCCTGGGCCCTGCAGTTTTCTTTTGCTGCTTGCAGGGGTTCTGGAAATCAAACTGCTCAGCATGCCCTGCCCAGCCAGGCGCCCCCGGGCCTGCACCCTGAAAATGCTGCAGGATGAGAGCGACTCCCCCACCCCACCCCGCTTCCCCAGGAGAACCTCCCTCTTCAAGCAGAGGCTCGCCCGAGGCTGGTGGCCGTGCGTGGTGCAGGAGGAGGGCAGACAGCGGCTGTCGGTAGGAGCACAGCTGGGGGCTGGTAGCAAGGACACGGGGGTACCCGAGCGGGAGGCGGGGGCTTGGGTGTCCCGGGGGGTTGGAGAATCAGAGGTTTGTGGGCGTGGTTAGAGGCCCAATCCTCCTCTAGCTTTAGGCAGGCGCCAGAGAGCCCCCAGCACCTCTGGAGGGGGGCGCCTGCCTTCTGCCACCACGGCCCAATTCCTGCCTTGCTTCTCAAGGGCAAGATTGAGCTGACGCTGGAGCTGCTGACGGACAAGGAGGCAGAAGAGCGGCCTGCTGGGAAGGGAAGGGAGGAGCCAAACATGAACCCCACCCTGCACCCACCCGTGTAAGTGGGGGGAGCCAGCTCGGCGGTGCTAATGGGGACCGAGACAAAAGGGGTGATTTTAAAAATGTAGAACTTTATAAGGGAAAACCCCCAAATTGTGCCAGGAGGATAAATAATGTAGAACATTCCCAGCGACTTCCTGCTTCAACCCGACAGCTTCCCACCTCACAAACCGGTGTGAGCGGGTGGGTACCCACGGAGCAGCCAGTGCCAAACCCTTCCCTGCCGCCTTGTGCCTGCGGAGAGGTTCTGACCCAACCCCGGGGCTGCGAACAGCTCTGCGTCCCAGCACCCCCATGCCCAGCCCTCCGCAGGAGCAGGGGTGGATTAACCACCGGGCCACCGGGCCTGTGCCCAGGGGCCCCGGAAAAAATCTGCCGCCGGGCAGTGGAAGGCCAGAGCCACAGCCTCCAGGCAGGTGGGGAAGCCCCCAGCGGCTCCTGACCCCATCAGGAAGCCCCCACACCTGACCCTGGTCCCCCACAGAAGCGTGGGGGGGGTGGCAGCAGGGGAAGCACCAGCACCCAGACCCCTGCTCCAGCCCTGGGATTGGGGGAGCTCTCAGTCCCCACTGCAGCCCTAGGGCTTGGCATGGGGACAGAGCTTCTCCAGTCTTGGGGCTGCAGTGGGGGGGCAGAAAGGAGCAAATGGGTTGGGGGGCTGCAGTGGGGGAGGGAGCCTGGGTGGAAGAGGGGCAACCCTAGGGAAGGGGCAGGGCTGCATAACCAAGGGGCAGGGTTGGGGCAGGACCGCAGGCAGAAGGGGTGAGGAGGGACCCCCACTTGCTCTGACCCAGGGCCCGCAGAAGTATCCCGGAGCAGTCCCCTCCCCACTGCTCGGACACAGCACTGGGCCGTTCCCAAGGCCTTGCTGGGGGGGAGCTGGAAGCCACAGGAAGAGTCCGGCCCATTGCCCGGTCCCAGGGCAGCCCGGGGTCCCGGCTGGGCCAGGGGCTGGGATACCCTAGGGCACGCTGGGAACGGCTGCCCTGGGACCATCTCCTCCCTGCAGGCGCCCAGAAGCCTCGTTCCTGTGGTTCACGGCCCCCCTCAAGAGCCTGCGCTACATCCTCTGGCAGCCGCACAAGTGCAAGATCATCTTGGGGGTCGTGCTGTTCCTGCTGCTGCTCCTGCTCGCAGCCTTCATCTACGCCACCCCGGTGCGTGTGCCTGCTGGGGGCCCGGGAGCCAGCAGGGGTGGGGGCCCGCTGCCACGAGCCCTGGATAGGGCTGCAGGCACAGAGGGAGAAACACTGAGTCTGCCTGGGGCAGCGGCACCACCCTGCCCTGGAAGTGCCTCAGCCCAGCCCCACAGCTCTGCTCCCTGGGGCTGAATGCTGGGCAGAGCAAGGGGAGGGGGAGCCAAAGCTGGGCTGCGGGGGGGCTAGGCAGGGGTGGTGTTGTGCAGGGCACTGGGCATGTATGGAGGAGTTCTGGGAGGGGATGTTGGGTGGGGGGGCTGTGTGGCACGACCTGGGTCCGCCGTCCCCCCCCCCCCCCGCCCAGGGAAGGGACACACTGGCAGCATAGGGCCGGGCAGGCCACTGTGCGTCTGGCAACTGCCAGTTTGTAACTAGTGCCCTGCACTGGACTGAGTGAAGTAGGGCCGCCCCTGCCCTGCCCCATTGCCCCTGGCCGGCCCCTCACTCCGGGGACTGACACCCCCCATCCCACGCCATGCTCCATGGGGGCCCATGAAAGGTTAATCCAGCCCTGCTCACTGCAGGGCGCTGGCCCATGGAGCCAGCTGAAGAGGCAGACCCCAGGCTGGCTAGAGGACATGGTGCTGCTGCAGGGCCTGACTCCCTCTCCCTTCCTCTCCCCAGCGCTACTTGGCCATGAAGCTGATAAACCCCTTCCGCAGTCTCCATTCCTTCGGGAGCCTCAATCCTCTGGCGGGGAGCAGCGGGAGCCCGTAGGCCACAGGCCAGCAACAGCACACCCAGCCCAGCTCCTGGGATGACAACCAGCTCCATGCCCTGCAGACAGACAGCGCCTGCTGTCTCCTAGCACAGGGAGACCTGGCCCTGCCAGGGAGTTGGGCAGCAGCACCCCTTTAAAATTCACCACCCGTTGCCTCCCAGTCACCCGTATCTTCCCTGCCCCTAGGGAGCAGCTGCTAGTCCTACCGCTCCCTTCCAGCAGAGGCTCTGCTGGCCTGCGCTCCTGCTGCTGCTCCTCCCCCTGGGGGCCAAGGGCCACTGACCGCAGGCCAGCGAGGCTGTGACTAGCTCCTTGGCTAGAAAGCAGCCCTACTCCCAGGTGGGTCGTTCTCTGGGCCAAAAGCCTTCAGGACCAGTATTCCCCAATAAAGGCATGGAAAGGAGGCCCTGCACCTTGGCTTGAGTGCCAGAAAGATTTTCTTTAGTGCCTCGCTCAAGGCGCCTGGGGTGCCGCACAGAAGCTGCATCCAGAGATGAAACCCTGAGCACCAGCTCCTGGCCAATAACTATTTCCCACCCAGCCTGCTGGGAAAGCCCTCGGCTTCTCTCCTGGCCTCCTGAAACAGTTCCTGGTCAGTCTTCTGGGCTCTTTGTGCCCGCGACACGAAGTCATGTTAGGGCCAGCGCTGCAGGGGCTGAGAGAGGCAAGTCCCAACAGGAACAAAGCTGCCTCCAGGACCTTCATCTGCCCAAGGAGACAGCTGTATTTCCATGCTACCACTAGCAGGGAGTATGAAATACCAGTGACCCATCACTCTACAGGGATTGAGTTGAGCATAACCGGGCTCCTAGAGACAGACACACCCTACGCCAGTATCCTCCAGGCACATCTCTGCCTGACTCTCTCTTCTGGGGTATTACATTTTATCTGTAATTATCAAAACACGTCCCCTGGTTGTTCTAGGTTATTTATGCACCCGCTGGCCCAGCAGCAGGAGGTTTATCTTCATTGTACGAAAGGGCAAAGCATGAGTGTGCTCCCGCTAGCACTTGGCGGGGTAGCTTAGAACTGCTCAGGTAAGGGACTCCAAGCCCAGTGTCCCGCCCAGCACTGGGCTGGCCCTGCTCTGGGGAGGAATTAGTCACCGTGAGAGTGGGATTTTTCCCCATTTCACACACAGTCACTTCAGTGACTGAGATGAGGTGACTGAGGCAGTACTGTACCTACCAGCCGCAGCAGCAGGGTCAGGAGAGCATCTGAAAGTGCAGCTCTTACTCCCGCGGTCCCCATGAAATGCCTTCCAGGAGTGAAGACATGCACGTACTCACCTAGCATTGGGCTTTATAGCCACAAGGTCAATCAAAACCCCTCCATCCCGGGGCAGGCAGAAGAGGGCAGCACCCCGGGATTAAGTGCAGCGCAGACCCACACTGGTGGACATTTGTGTGTTTATTTCCAGGACACAAATTACACTTGCAGAAACAGGCACACGTACAGACAGTTCTGTTGATCAGGTAAAATATTTTAAAAGAGGCAAGAACAGACCCAACGCTTTCAGGCTGCCCCATTGCTTTGCCACATGTAAAATCTCCCCCTACCCCAGAGCCATCCTACCAGACCAAACCCCCCTGCTACAGCAAATGCCAGTTTGCCACTGTCAGAACAGCGGGCTTAGATATGCAGTCACGGGAGGAAATGTATCTTGGCCAGATCCTTTCTGCAGAGGGAGGAAGGCAGCACCTCTCCAAGCCTCATCACTGATTTCCCAAGGCTCTGAACTGTGTTGGGAGGGGAAATAGTGCGGATGGACAAGTCAAAGGCCTTGAAGGCTGGAACTCAAGGACACACAAGAAGGGATCATTTCAACATGGCCTGGTGTTTAGAACCAGCATCTAGAGCAGAGGCACCAAGATGTGGCCTGCAGCCACTCCACACTTCAATAAGGCCACATTATCCTATCAGCACAGGAGCTGCAGGGTTTACCATACCGGGACAGCTGGAGTAGGGCTTCCCCCTGCCCTATTTCACCCTCACACCCAGTCCGTCAGGTACCAGGGCAAAGAGCGCACAGATTCTCACCTGCACCTCTGCTGATCTGGTCTCATGCCACTGTAACGTCCATCGAATTAAGGCTACAGATTGCAGCATCCATCTGGACACCAGTAGTGGTGGCTCCTGGCAAACAGGGCACCCCACCAGCAGAGCTCAGGAACTCTTTGGTTAACAACGCCTCTGCTCTCTGCCGAGCACCAGCTACAATGGCGGCTTCATCTGCGGCCAGTCTGGGCCATGTGCCAGCAGCGCTGCCCCCTGTTAGCACAGCTCCAGGAGCAATGCTGGTGACCCAGCCTGTCCCAGTGCCACTGGCTGGCCGCCTGCAGGGCAGAGCAGGGTTTACATACAAACCAATAGCCAAGACTTTCAAAAGCAATTGGGGATTTTGAGTGCCCAGCCGGAGACCCCTGAAAGGGTCCTGGTTTTCACAAGGGGCTGGGCGCCCTGCTCCAAACAGGGAGGCTCTTTAAGATGTCTCCAGGTGGGCTCCCAAAAACTGAGGCACTTAAAAAGGAAAAAACAAAAGTCACAAGTCCCTTTTGAAAGTCTTGGCCAATAACCATGTTCTTTAATTAGCTGGGCCATGGCCACCCTGGGATGCGGAGACATCGGGAATCCAGGATCTGCCACCGGGACAGGAGTTGTAAGGGACATACTGAATCTAAACCTTCCTCCCTCAAAGGAGTCTGGGAATTCCCTCAGCCTAGCCCTTCTCCCCAGCCCAGCCCTGGTTACTGCACCCAGAGATGGCTTGACGGGCAGGAGGAGCTGGCAGGGCCTGGTTTTACTGTCGCTGTAACAAGGGCACGAGATCCAGTTAGACGTGGTTGGCTAGGACAAGGGGAGAACATGGCTCTGGTGCGTTGTGTCGAGTTTAACCAGACACGGGCCAGCCAAGCCTTGTCCACATTGAGCGCACAGCTCCAGGCCTGTTTACACTACAGAATGGAACAGTGTCCGGGACAAAGTGTTGTAACCAGGTCCCCGGAGATTCTATCTGTACATGTTCCTGTATTCTCCCCCCCTCGGCATCTGTATTATGAACAACTCAGCAGGACCTACAGAAAGCAAGAACTCATTCAAACAGCAGTCACTGAGGTAGGAAATAACTAACCCTCCCTGAAAGGCAGCACAACGTTTGTAGAGATCAGAGCTCTCTTTCCCAAGCATGGCTAAGGTCTCCGCCAGGCCAATAAACCCTTTGACCTTCCTTTGCCAGCATGCTTCCAAACTCCTGGTTACAGCAGCCAGATCTAGGTCCTTCAGAAACACAAAGGGACCATGTACAAATGCTGGCATCAGGTTTCTGGGTGAGGAAGAGAGAACTGCCCCTTTTCACATCACACCTACACCACTAACAGGACACAGTGACATGCAAGCAGCCCCTGTGCAAAGGCTGGCTCCAGGCCGAGGTACACAGAAGGGAGGAAGGCAGCACTGCATGCAGACAGTGATCCAGTGGTGGAGGGACAGGCCCCCCGACAGCAGCGAGTGGTTATTACAACGGAACCCAGTGTTAAAACAATCAGTCGCTGGGCGAGTCCATGCATGTGGACAGCAACATGACCACATGAACCCCACCCCAACAACGTAACCTGGCTTCATGTGAACGAACGGGAAGTGGGTCGGGACTAGCCATCCCTCGCCCACCACATTCCCAGCACTGAGTGTCATGGAGCCCCTGCACACAGACGTACTGACCCTTGTGCAATGAGCCCAGGATCCGAACGGTTTCTCGGACAGGCCTGGTCTCACCAAGCCGCAGTGAGACTTTTTAGTGCATATTTCACCAGCAGCAAAACCCCTCGGCCCTGGATGGAAAGCCCAGTTATCGGGGAGAAAGAGGAGGTGACCGTATGCTAGTAGTGGCAGAGTGGAGGCACTGAATGGAAGCAGCTCAGGTCAATTTCCATCAGAGGCCGAGAAGAGCCAGCTGCATCAAGGCCAACCCGCAGCCTGGAAGAGCAGTGCTTTCCCTGCCATGCTGCTGGGACATCAGGCAGGCTCAGGGTGGCACTGGGAGGCCAGTAGCCAATATTTGTGTTCATGCCCAGACCATACTGGGGTGACTGTAAAACGAGGGGTTTCCTTTAGCACAGCTCCCAGTTCACCTACTTCCTAACGAGGAGCAGCAGTGAGACTAGGAGTATTTCATTCATGGTGCAGGATTCAACTGCGCTACGGCAAAACCAGGATTAAAAGTTTAAAGCTGCCTGGGGCAGATGAGCTCGGCCTTCCCGACCAGCCTAAGGCAGCAAAGCCACCTGGATTGCAACAGACAGGCTGCCAGAGTGAGCAGCGGTGGGGCTGGGGGCAGGGCCAGGCTCATGTCCTGCAGGGGCCAGGGAGGGGACAGCACTACTCTTCTCAACAAGAAGCGTTTTGTTTGGCCAAGTTTCACACTTAAGCCAAAGGGGCTTTTCTAGGATTTTACAGTCTTCAGTGCCTGGCCTCCTAGCTAGGCTGTGGGACATCCCCAGATAGCACATGTAAGGCTCACCAACACGGAAACAATACAACATTCAGCTCCACCCGCCCCAAGCGTCCTCTAAACACCTTGCAAAGCAAGAGCTGCTGGGGGACGGCCCATCTGTCACTGCACCAACCTCCAGAGTCGGGGGGGTTAGGTCTCCCTGATGCACTACGTGTCACACAAAGTGTGCTCCCCATGTGATCCAGGACGTCCGCTCCCGCTGGGAACCCCAGAGCTCGAAGAGACACAGCAGCGGTCCCCATGGGGGCCAGCAAAGTAGCAGCCATCTGAAGGGGCTCTTGAAAGTCTGAGCTGAGCAGGCAAGGGCTTCTCTTCAGCTAGCCTCTGGCACCTGTGCCAGCCCACTCCAGCAGAGCGGCTGGGCTGCCGAGGGAAGGGGCAGGGCAGGCGTCAAGGTCAGTAGAAGCGTTTCCGGCTCTGTTCCTGCCATTTGTTGTAGACAATGACTCCGATGACGATGGCAAACACCAGGGCGACCAGCGAGAAGAACACAATTAAGAACAGGGCCAGGCCGCTCATGGGTTCCAGCGGGGCCTCCACTGTGGGCAAAGGCAGAGGGGCACAAGCCCAGGTTAGCCAATGCAGAGACCATGCGCTCAGAGACTATGGCCATGGGGCGTACAAGCTTAGTTGGGTTTTTCTTGCATTGCCCATCTCTGCGGTGGCCAGGGGAGACAGCCATCCAGCCCCCACCTTCCCCAACGCTTCATCCAAGATGAGGCGCTTGCGTTTATCCTGAGCTATGGGATTTGGGTTCGGTCTCCGGGGAGATTTCAAAGAAGTGAGAGAGCCTGGCGCAGAGACTGAACGCTACGTGGTCACTAGCCTGCAGAGGATCTCAAAGCACACACAGGGTTTTGGCTACCTCCAGCCTGTCTCCAGCGCTTGGAAGCAGCGAGACCCAGGGCATGCTGTGCTTCAGGCACACCTAATCCCTGCTTGAGGCTGTTGGCTGCTCCTCTCTGCAGGGGTATTGGAGAAGCCGACACTGCAGTGAGCACTGGCACAGATGCAGGGACATCAGCGCTCAGCATTTGGTCACACCGTTCCCTCCTTCTAGGACCGTTAGCTAATGGAGACATTCAAGCAGAGGGGCTCACAGGCAGGCGCTTCAGCAGATGGTGTGAGGACCCCGCCTGATGAATGGAATAGCCCGCCTGGTGGGGAAAGCAGGTACTTGGTGGTTCCCAGCTTTGCGCCTCACCAACCTGTGCACTACTCACCTCCGGGCAGTTTCATGTTGTCCACAACGGGCAGAAACACCTCTTTATCCCGCTTCTCCTCCTCTGGGCTCCGCTCAACCGTCAGCTGGTAGAGTTTCAGGGAAATGATGTCGTGGTTATCTAGGGGCACGAGAGAAACGTGGTCTTAGACAGCAGGCAGGAAGAGGAGTCTTGGCCAGGGATGGCAGAGCTGCTGGAAGAGGGAAACTGAACATCTGCTCAAAGGGAGCCAAGCACCCATGCACGGAGCAAGCAGAACTCAGCTCTCCAGGACAGGGCAGGGCAGTGCCCAGCACAACACAACACACTTTTCACAAGGGGCCTTTAAGCCACTTCAATTCAGGCTGAGAAATGAGGAGCTGTTCAGCCGGGGAGCGCCCCTGATTTAAAGTCCACTCAGCCACCTGAAGGCAGCAAATTAGAATTGCCCTCAGGCGCTCATTGCCTTTGTCTGTCTGTCTGTCACACGTATTAGCAGAACAACTCAACTGCCCCAGCCAGCTGCTCCAATTCCCACAGCATCTGCAGAGATTCTGGAAATAAAGGAACTTTGCTTGGAGGAAACAATGAATCCAGGCATTGGTGATCAACGTGCTTTTGTAGAGGCTTGATTCAAATCTGTTCTAAACTGGCTTAAGAACTACGGAAGCAGACGGGTCAGTACTTTGGGGTATTATGGCATACGCTGAATGGAATTCACACAGACGTTACAGGCTGATACAGGCAAGCGCCTCAATAGGCCAGAGAGCTGTGCATCAGTGTCCACACGGCTGGTCCCCTCGCCTATACTGGAAGGAGAAGAGCTAACGGCTCTTGGGCCAGAATGCTCAAGAAGTGCCCTGCAACACTGTGTAAGAGGGATGCCTGCTCTAAACCCCCGAAGTACGTCCCAAGCCCCTGTCTAACTGCAGGCTGTGCGCACCAGAGGTTCAGCTGCAGGCAGCCCCCAGAGCCAGGGAGTGGCCGAGGCCGTCAGGGTGAAGGCGTGGGAGCGGGCACCTTTGTATTTTAAATACTCGGAATGTTGATGCCAACTCAGAGGAGCCTCCGGCACCTGGCAGAACTTCGGGTGCCCCAAGCCTACAAGTGTCACCTGTGAATTCCTGGGGTTCCACTGAAACCAGAAGGGGGCGGTGTCTCTTTCTGACCGAACACAGGGGCCTTTCAGGCTCAGCGGTTAACGCCAAGGGCCCCTCCAAGGACATGGCTTGGGGAGCTCAGCGCCTCACGGGATTTTCAAACACACCTCAGGCACCTCCATGCCGCGGTAGGTCTGGCCGGAGCACCAGAGGCACTTCTGAAGGCAGGGCTTTCGCTCCCCAGTCACGTAGGGTGCAGTTACTGTGTGTTTAAAACCCGCAGCAGCAAGTCTCAGAGCCAGGTCAACAGACTCAGGCTCACGCTCCGGTGCTAAAAGCAGCCGTTTGGCTCAGGCTCTGTAGACCCCGGCTCGGAGACTCGCAGGCACAGCATAGGCCTACCCTTAGCGCTTGTGGAGCATTGGCCAGGTTCACAGCGCGGTACCTGAGAGGTCTCCAGTGACTGAAGAGGTCCCAAAGAAGTATCCCCGTGGCAGGTGGACCCCCGGCATGTCAATACAGTCCCGCCACTCGTGCTTGCCATCAATGTCAATCATGATCTGAAACACACGAGACTTCACTCAACCCAGAGCAACCCAGCCCAGCCCTCCCGACCCGACGCCGCCCTGGGCCTGGAGAGCTCGAGGAGGAGTCACTCACCGTCAGCCTCCTTTTGACATAGCGGATCACCAGGAAGGTGTCGTGGTTCAGGTTGCGCACCATGGCCGTGCAGCCGCCGAGCTCAGTGGGCCGTCCGTCCCGGTCATGGTCGTAGGTGAGAGAGCCATTGTTCACCATGGCAGAGATGTAGGGGAACACGCGCTAGGGGAGACAAAGCCGCAGGTTAGTGGTCTCCTCACACTGCTCTGCGGAGGCCTGGCGAGATGAACCATGGGCAACAGGGCAAATGCATGCAGCCAGCGGAGAACATGGCTTTGCACAGGACACTGACAGCATGGAGCACGACACCAGGGCCGAGAGACAGACAAGAGCCTTGGCCAGCGCTCAAAATTCTCACGCAGCTGGCAGGACCGGATCTGTAAGGGAGCGAAGTGCTGGCAGGAGGCACTGGACTGACTGATCCCTCCACCACCGGGCCTCATCCTGACTCCAAGGAACCCAGGTCTAGAGAGGGACATGGGCTCCGCCTCCAAGGGGTGTTCTCTCTACAGAGACCGCCCACAACGTCCCATTGCTACCCCTGGGCTGGTGGTTGGTGTGGCAGGGACCCCTGCTCCACACAGGCCGGGCAGCAGCAGTGCTACTGTGCTGGGCTGGCTTTGAGACAGTGACGTCCAGCTACCACAGCCCATGTGCCCCAGCCAGGACACTGTTCATGGGATCACGTGCCTCCTCTCCCCCTCCAAGTTGGGTTTTTGTTTTATTAAGATCATTCCACCAAGACATGTGCATTGTGCATCACACTGGGTCCAGCATTCCCACTCTTCTCGATGGGCAACACTGCCCAGAGGCCCAATGGCAGAGTCCTTTCCCAGGTCTGCAGTAGCAGACGGGCTAACCACACCACCGCTGAGCCACTGGTATGTGCAGCTTAATTCATTTCTGATGGACCCTCCTCTATCTACTAGGCAGTGAGAAGACGAGCTGAGGCGAGCAGTGCACCCAGGCCAGACCCCCAGCGTCATGCTGCGTAGCAGGGAGATGCACAAGCTCTCCCTGTGGGAACAGAGGTTTGTTTATTCTGAAATGAAGCAGGAACAGGGATCCATGAGCACAGACCAGCTCGAGAGCTGCAGTGTCTCCTCCGCGTGTAGGAACTGCGCAGCCATGAGGAGAAGCCATAGGAAGAGAGAGGTGCACCAAAACCGCCCGGGCAGCCAGGCCCTGAGCGAGGGGCTTGGGGAGGCTGCACACGCTCAACTTCCTTCAGGTCACAGGACAGTAATCAGCAGCCCAGTGCACTCTGGCACAAGCACGCTGGCCAGGGGATCTGGGGGCAGATGGAGAGACTGGCTCTGAACCAGCCAGACTGGCTGCAGCCAGTCAGATAAAGATTTCTGTAACTCTGGCAATGCACTTCCCTCTTCCAGCAAGGTCCCAAACACTCGGGAAGTGCCAATGACAGACAGAGTGGAGGGGACTCCGAGGCTGGAAATGAGCTAGGAGCAAGTACCTGATTTCCAGGGGCATACCGCCTCTTCTGAGCCTGAGTCCAGAAGGATTATTGAGAGCAAGAAAGGGTACAAAGCAAGACAGAGTCACCGACCAGACAGTTTAGTATTAACCTGCAAACTGGGAAGGAAATGCACCCTAGGAAACCACCAGCATTGTCCCCTTGCCAAGACTTGAGGGTACCCTACATTTTGCAAGTCATGTACCAAACCACTGAATACATGGCTTAAAAAGGCAGCTGGCCCAAGAAACCCCACACTAATCCTGCCCAGTTTATACCCTGTACTTCCCTTCCCCAGCCCACAGCACAAAGCCACATTAACCCAGCGCTAAGGACCCAAGCATGCACGGCAACAAAGGACTGCTTGGCTGGAATCACCACCACCCAGATCTACAATTCCTCCAGCACCCTTAACTGTGTCCATCACACACAAACGCATGACAGCAGGGTGCTCCCACGGTACACGCAGGGACATGCAGTGTTCACAGTTCAGGAAGTGGCTCTTGGCTTCTCTGAGGCAAGTGTCGCTGTGCTAGGGACAGTCCCAGAGCCACATGGACACCAGTGTCCTGGGGAGCTGGGCACACGAGCCCAAGGCGCGAACCCCCATTTTCACGTGGGACTGAGTCCTGCACCCGCTCCCTGAGGATCCCCCATGCAGCTCCACAGATGTCAATGGAGTTCCACAGTGGCAGAGCTCAGAACTGGGCCCAAGCTGAACAGAAATAAAAGCCTCCGTTGTGTTTGACTGTCTGGTTAGGACCGTAACCAGACGCCAGCACAAATCTGTGGCAGGAGCAAGGCTGCAGATGCTGTCACTTCTCCCTGCGTTGTGACTCAGATTATGATCTTTATCCTCAATTAAACTCCAAGAGCTGGAATAGCATCAGTGGGGCTTCTCCAGCTGCCCGGCATTCTCTAGGAACCAACCGAAGGGTACAAAGGCCCTTCCCAGACCAAGGGCAGGCCAATGTTAATGTTTCAACCAAACCTGACACTGATTCAAGAGCTGCAGATCTGTTTAATCAGTTTCAAGGTCAGAAGCCACCTACATAGCTGAGCTGGTCAGGCACTGGAGTCTAAAGGAGAGCCATGTGGTTCGAGTCGAAGGAATTAGCAGGATGCTAATTTGGGATGATCTCCACACACCTCAGGGGTGGCCAGAAAACAGCCATGTATTTCCCACAAGAAGTTTGGAACGATATGACAAATTCTCAACTTGTGCAAAATTTGGCAAAATTGTTCAAAAAATTTTTCACGTCTTGGCTGCTTGGATTCCTCCTCCCCACTCACTCTAGAAAAATCCAAACGCCTGAAAAAAAACCTTGGTCAATGTCCTGGGAAATTTTCTGATAAAGTGAAAGTGTCTCAAAAATGCTGGTTTCCTTTGCAAAGCAATTCTTCGGTGAAAGCGTGTTTGGGTCCAGCTCTAATACAAACGTGGACTAAACATGTGTGTGTTTCAATAACACGTAACAGCATGGTCTCGCTGTACAGCTCTAGAGCACAGGAGATGTTCTCCAGAACAGCTTTACAGAAGGACTGTGCAGTAGGCCCTGGCCAGCAAGTACTGGGGTGATCCCGGCAATTACAGGCCGGTAAGCCTGACTTCAGTACCGGGCAAACTGGGTGAAACTATAGTAAAGAACAGAATGGTCAGACATAGATGAACAAAATTTGTTGGGGAAGAGTCAACATGGTTTTTGTAAAGGGAAATCATGCCTCACCAATCTACTAGAATTCTTTGAGGGGGTCAACAAGCATGTGGACAAGGGTGATCCAGTGGATATAGCGTACTTAGATTTTCAGAAAGCCTTTGACAAGGTCCCTCACCAAAGGCTCTTACGCAAAGTAAGCTGTCATGGGATAAGAGGGAATGTCTTCTCATGGATTAGTAATTGGTTAAAAGATAGGAAACAAAAGGTAGGAATAAATGGTCGGTTTTCAGAATGGAGAGAGGTAAATAGTGGTGTCCCCCAGGAGTCTGTACTGGGACTAGTCCTGTTCAATATATTCATAAATGATCTGGCAAAAGGGGTAAACAGTGAGGTGGCAAAATTTGCAGATGATACAAAACTACTCAAGATAGTTAAGTCCAAAGCAGACTGCAAAGAGCTATAAAAGGATCTCAGAAAACTGGGTGACCGGGCAACAAAATGGCAGATGAAATTCAATGCTGATAAATGCAAAGTTATGCACACTGGAAAACATAATCCCAACTATACATATCAAATGATGGGATCTAAATTAGCTGTTACCACTCAAAGATCTTGGCATCATTGTAGATAGTTCTCTGAAAATATGCACTCAACGTGCAGCGGCAGTCAAAAAAGCAAACAGAACATTGGGAATCATTAAGAAAGGGATAGATAAGACAGAAAGTATCATATTGCCTCTATATAAATCCATGGTACGCCCACATCTTGAATACTGCGTGCGGATGTGGTCGCCCCATCTCAAAAAATCATATATTGGAATTGGAAAAGGTTCAGAAAAGGGCAACAAAAATGATTAGGGGTATGGAACGGCTTCCGTATGAGGAGAGATTAATAAGACTGGAATTTTTCTGCTTGGAAAATAGACAACTGGGAGTGTGGGCGGGGGATATGATAGAGGTCTATAAAGTCCTGACTGGTGTGGAGAACATAAATAAGAAAGTGTTATTTACTCCTTCTCATAACAAAAGAACTAGCGGATCACCAAATGAAATTAAGAGGCAGCAGGTTTAAAACAAACAAAAGGAAGTATTTTTTCCACACAGCGCACAATCAACCTGTGGAACTCCTTGCCAGAGGAGGTTGTGAAGGCCAAGACAATAACAGGGTTAAAAAAAGAACTAGATAAATTCATGGAGGACAGGTCCATCAATGGCTATTAGCCAGGATGGGCAGGGATGGTGTCCCTAGCCTCTGTTTGCCAGAAACTGGGAATGGGCAACAGGGGATGGATCACTTGATGATTCCCTGTTCTGTTCATTCCCTCTGGGGCACCTGACACTGGCCACGATCAGAAGACAGGATACTGGGCTAGCTGGACCCTTGGTCTGACCCAGTATGGCCGTTCCTATGTTGGCATTTAGGCCACTGCTATGCAGAGGTGAAGATCACCACACTACAGGTCCACACTAGCTAGTGTCCAGACACTTCAGACAGCTTCTGACCCCAGCTTGCTGGCAGCCCCCGAATCCCCAAGGGAAATGAGTACAACTGCTTCCCATTTCTCCTTTTCCCATTTCCCCCGCAAAGCGTTTGCAGCCATTGCTGAAGGCCACTGCTGGTCTACAGCTCGTCCTAATCAGTGTGTCCAGCCTGCATACACCGGCCTTGGGCAGCAAGACAATGCCCATCACCATCAGGACTTGCCCTGCAGAGCAGCGATACTTCATACGGGGAGTTGGCAGTGAGGAGAAACTAACCAGGATTGCTGAGTCCTTGCGAGGGCTCCTCTACACCAGATGCCATGACACACAGAAGGGGCTGCAGAGGGAAGCTGCCTGGTCTGGCCTGCAGCCCCCTCCACGTATGAAGAGCTACTTGCCTCCTGCTAGTCCCCTGGAGAGGGACAACAAGGAAGTCGGCGAGCTCAAAACCAGAAGGGAAAAGAGACAGGAGAGGGGAAAGAGAGCAGCAGCAATAGCAAGTAACCAAAAGCTGCAGCCACGAGGAGCCGGAGAGGATGCTACATTTAGACTGGTCCGTGATTGGGATCTCTAACATACAGCTGCATTGGAGCTAGAAATAGGGCCAAAGCCTTTTGAACAAGCTAATACGCCAACTCTGGCCTCAAGCTCTGGATGCACAGCCCCGGTAATACAACTTCACATCCATCTCCCACTTCCCTCCGAACTGCCAAAAGGCCGTCTTACCTCCTGCTGCTTCTCCTCATTGGGGTAGGTGTCTACAAACACCCCCAGCCCCAGAAAGTGATCCTTGCTCCCAAACACGGGCCCTAGAACAGATGGCAGATTGTGAACAATGGGTCCTGTTGCTCTCTAGTAGAGACAGTGGGGGGGGGGGGGGGGGGGAGTGCTTTCCACTCTGCGTGCGGGTAGATTTACTCCCCAAGCCATCGATGGGCCCCACCTTGGAGCAGAACCACAAGAGTAGCTTGAAGAGGATACAGTAATATTTGGTAGCGTCAGACAGACATTTACCTCCTTGCAGCCAATGAGAACCAGTGGGGCGGCCTCCAACTTCATGCAGATGCCCATTTGAAGGCGTTTTCCCCTAAGGATCTAAGCCAGAGATGCCTCCGAAGGTAGCCTTGGCTTGACACCAGTAGCAGCTCGTAAGGAATGTTAGGAAGTGGCATTGGATGAGTCACCCTTTACCTTCACCTCTCCCCACAGGGGAGTCATTCCTTGATCCGTGCTTAGGGGGCCTGAAGCCCCTGCCACATAGCACCATCGAGCACTTACAGAACAGCAGAGCCCAGCGCCCATATTACAGGACCAATACCCCGCAGTCCCGAGTTCAATCCCCGGATCTGCCACTCCCCCTCTGCACCTCTCTTCCCCCATCTGTCAAATGGAGACAGCAATACTCTCACCTGATGAATCGCTTTGCAATCTACATAGGAGTGCTAGATAGACGCGCTCTTTACAAACAATAACTCATGAGGTAGGCAGGCATCCCCCCCCCCCCCCGTTTGACAGATGGGGAAACGGGAGCAGAGTTTCAGAGTACAGGTGTTCCTGGCCCCCAGGCCTATGCTTAGCCCACACACGTCTGATTTCCAGAGCTCTGGAGCCACTGGAGCCTCCAGTCCTGCAGTAGGAATGGGGCTTGCTCTGCACCTCTGAAAATCAGGGCAAGCAGTTTGCTACTGCACAGCTGAATTCATAGCCATGTTGGACTCCTCAGAGCCCCGATCAATGGTCACCCCGAGCTTTCGCAGAGCAATGTCAGTATTAGCTACAATGGGTTCACAGTCACTCCTGGCTCCCTCCTTGTCGGTCCCTGCAAAAAGGAGCAGGATGGCAGCAACTCTAGGGCAGCAGCTACAGATGCAATCTACATCCACAGCCAAGGGCGGCGCTCGTCTGGCCAGCATATCTCCGCTGGGGCAGGAGAAGGCCAGCAGCGGAGGCTCTGTGCAGCACTTCCCCTTGCAGCCGATGCCTCCGTGAGAGCATTTTACCTGGCTGCATGCGATCCTTGGTGTACCAGATGGCAAAGCCGTCCCCATTCAGGTTCTTCTTGCCTTGCCCGTGGATTTTAAAATGGACCTGCATCTCCCAGTCTCTGAGGTAACAAGGCTGCAAGAGAGAAAGGGGGAGAGTGAGTGCAGCAGTCAGGGGGACTTTGACAATAGACTATTCACAGCCCTTCCGACTATTGCCTTGCAGGCAGATAACGTTAAGAAGGGACCCCATGTCAGCTGGGATCTGTTCCGTCTGGATGGGGAGGGACAGTTGCAATTGGTTGCAGTGTCCCCAGCCAGACAGTACAGCTGCTTTTCTGCACAGACAGCAAGCCATGGCACCAACACACCCACAACCTCATGGAAAAGTGCTGGCCTGCCTTAGCACAAATACATCTGCTAAATGGAGCCACACTGCAGAGATGTCTTCGTCCTTTATTTCCCTGGCCAATAGGCTGCACTGCCTTACTTTTCGTATTTCAGCAAGAGTAATTAATCACAGGGGGCACTGTTAAGATTAGGGAACCATGGATATAAAAAACAAAGAGCTTGATTCTGATCTTGCACTGTTCTAAGCCAGGAGTAACCAGTGAAATCAGGGAAAGAGATCAAAATCAGGCCAAGAGTGGCCTGGATTTCATCACTATAGATGAATAAATTACGCCCCCTTATGAACATCAGATGAAGCGTAGAACCAATCAGGGGCAAAGAATGTAAATAGTTTTATAATAGCCATCCAGACTGGATACGAGTTAGCAGCAAGACAGGTATTTCGACTCCTGGACTCATACCATATGAACTGTCAAAAGCCCACTTCAAAGTCACATCTGAAAACTCATTACATTATCATCAATGCCACAAGACAATGGATTTTAAGAATCCAGTCCATTTTTCACTACATAAGCAGTTCAGTCTCCTGTATTTCATTCAGCTTGAGCAACAAAGCTACACTTGTCAGTTTAATGTTAAGCTGATGTGAACCACAACCATTTCAAGGGAACTGCAAATCCAAACACACACACACTCAGTGACATTTAAAAAAAAAAAAAAAGAAAGAAAAACATTTTACAACTTCTCAAAAAGCTACATTTGGGTCCCTGACTACAGCCCTTTTTAAGCATTTTATTTGTATTCAATTTCCATATGAAAGAACAGAAAGATCCACAGTCAGAGACATCTCGCAACAGTGCCCATAGCTGGGGATTGATTGCCAAATGCAGCAATATCAAGCCTGCTCCACACCACAGAGATGTACCAGAGGTAGGTGGCAACTCACTGTGGAAGGCAGACTCAGGACAGACAATTAGAACAGGTTCAGGTCAGAGACATGCACTTACATCATACAGACAATTGTACAGAGATGTGGGAGGCCACCGAGCTCCATGGAGACAATTTACACAACTCTTTAATATGAGGAGGCAGCTGTCCAACATACTCTGAAGGTTTTGAGGTGTCTGACTTAAAACGGTCTCATTCCACGGACTAAAAAGACATGGCTATTAACGGACAGGACTCTGTCCTACTGAGCAGAGTATCCCTGACACAGTGGGCTGCAAGAAGAGTACTGACCTGGAAAGGCTTGGTACACCTACAGTGCCTTTGCTCTTGGAACAAGCTACCTTTCTCCAACACACGGTCAACTAGTCTGGACTCAAATGGCCAGGCAGAATCAGACAGGTACTTGTGTGGAGAGTGTAGAAATCATAATAGTTCTACAGGAAACTTACTATGGAACTACAGTACATGAAAGCGCATCACTATCTACCCCACAGTAAATTCCATCCCAAACTGTCGTGTCTTTGAGTGGCTCCTACTTATATCCTATCACAGGATTTAGGCAAGGCAATTCACTGCCTGCACAAAATTCAGACGAAAACTGCAACATTAAAAAAACTGCACAGCCAGACATTATAAGGAGTGATCTGTAGTGCATGAGCTCAACCTGAGCCACCAGATGCAGGTGTGAGGGAGTTGTGACCACCCTGGCCTTTCCATACTACTAAATGGGAGGGGGCTTCCTGCTAGACCTGTGAGAGATGGGAGGGGGTCCTAATCTGGAAGAGATTGGGAATCACTGCTCTATTGTTACTCTGCCAAACACTGAAACCCAGCACACACACACACTTGCAAGCTACGTCACAATCCTGCACCATGTGAATATAGGCACAACAAGATGATGGGCACCACATAAGCCCCTAAAAAGAAAGCCTCTAACAGCAAGCCCTTCTGTGTCCACATCACAACTAAGAGACCACACTTCCCTTTGCCTGGCAATTTCACTCACCAAGAATAGGCATTTTTCAGCTTTGGAAAGAAGTGTGAGATTACTGCTATAATCCAGAGAAACATCCTATCAAAGCTTCAGTTTTGAGTGACTGGAGCTAGGACATCATATATGATTACTTGTTTTAAAAAACAGGATCCACAATAGGCACTATAAACGTTAAAGAAGAACTATACTGCAGCAAGGTAAGACGATATGAGTTTGTTAGAGGGCCCAAGCAGATGTAAGTAGAGAAGGCCTGCACTGAACAGCACAGGAAGCTATATTGACCATAAGACCCTTTCTGGCTCAAATTCCAGCTTTTCACTTAATAAGCAAATTATATCCACTCTTTAGGCAAGACTTAAGTTAGATAAACATTTGATGAGAGCTGAGTTTGGGACTCAAACTGACAGCTACTGAAGAAAAGTAGAGAACCCAGGTACTTGTACTGCTGTGGCCAAGTATTAATGGTAGATGTGAGGTTAGTCGTTTTCAGATGCTGGTGGAACCTTTGCACATGGGAGCAGAGGAATGTCAGATCAGGTTTACAGGATAAACTCAGCGTGCCCAATTCATACTGGTATAAGCAGGTACAAGTCCACTAACTGATCTGAGTTGCAATTGCTTATACCAGATCTGCCTTTGGTCCCGTGTTCTTGTGTGCGTCTACACCATTCACATTCCCCCAGAACAAAAAGCCTTTCATAAGTTATTCTATTTGGGGGACATGGATCTTCGTCTACTCGGGATCTAAAGAATGTGCCACGTACATGGAACACAACAGAGTGGTGATCCTGAATGGGACACATTTGAGCTATAGTAATAGAGGGATTTAGGATCAAATCCTATAATAGAATTGGCAGGGCTATTGCCCGGGAGCAAGCCATTTATAAGCACTGCCTTTTGGCACTTTTAGTCAAAGGAAAAGCTCAGTGGACTGGAACACTGTCACAAGGTTAATGACCTCCTGTAGCTACACCGAAAGCAGAGACACTGCCAAGACACTGATTTAGCAACAGGCTTGTTTCAGATTAACTGTAGCTGGAGTTTGTTTTGCACAACCATTCCACAAATCTGTCTGGCCAGTAGTTTTCATGAGAGCAATCTGCCCAAGGCCCATCCACCCTTCATTCCGCATGCGAGCTAAGGATTTCACCATCAGTGCACCACTTCCTGTGACCTGCAGCAGCCAATTCCCATGAGAATCTTGACTCCATAAATCAAGTCATCCCGATTACCATCTTGCTACCCCTCACCATCTTGAATTCAGACATACTGGCTGCAGTCCAAAGATAGAAATCACTTCTGCATGAGATACAAAACCCTGGAGTGCCAGCGCTCCTCACAGATTGCTAGAGAACATTATTCTTACCACTCTGTTCCACACGGCCCCCTGTTTGCTCTGCATGTCTGGTGTGAGGCGGACGTACTGAGTCGTGACCATGGCATTGCCCATAAGATCCCAGAGAGAGGAGCTGGAAGATCCAACACCTGCAGGGTAGGAGGGAAACATTTGCACCAGCCGTACAAGGGTACAGTGCTTTGACTGTTAGTCAAGAGCACCGATTGCCCTGCGCTCTGCCTCTTCTCACCCAACCCCCCTTCCATCCATCTTCCCACCCACCCCCCTGCTTCCTTCTCTGCCTTGTTTCCCTCGCAGACCCTCCGCCTGGCCACCCTCCTCTTTCCCTCTCCAGCCAGGTGCACAAAGCACTACGTACACTTGCTTTCCCCCACGCCACCTACATAGCTCATCCCCCAGCCCTTCTCTCTCGGGGGTCCCAATCCACTCTCGTTCTGCTTCTTCCCTGCCCCCCAAATACTGTCACTCTCTAGCCACGCCCCACAGCTCCCTCTGCACCCCCACCCTGCCTTTCCCCCCAATGCCAGCTGCCCACTGAACACACTACCTCAGTTTCTTTGCCTGCCTCCTCCCTACTCCCCTTCTCACCCCCTTTGACTCCTCCCCCACTCCTCCCTGCCCCAGTTACTGCTTTTGCTGATCCCACCACCCTGCTCCCCAAATCTCCCAGCCCCTCTCATCCAGCCTTCCCAGCCCAGTTCCTCCTGCATCCCCGTCCATCACCCCCATACTCCTGCTGCCCTGTCACTCCAGCCCAGTCCCCCCCCCACACACACACACACACACACCCTCCCACACACGCACACCCTACACGGGTCCCCCCAGCCTAGCTCCCCACACGGGTACCCCCAGTCCAGCCTAACCCCCCACACGGGTCCCCCCAGCCTAAACCCCCCACACGCACACTCCACACGGGTCCCCCCTACCTAGCCCCCACACACACACCCCACAGGGGTCCCCCCAGCCCAGCCCCCTACAGGGGTCCCCCCCGCACTCCCCGCGGGGCCCCTCACCCTGGTAGGGCTTGGTGAGCGAGTGCTCCCGTTTCAGGTGCTCCTCAGTCTGCTCGGCGCGCGCCCCGCGCAGCACCAGCAGCACGAGCAGCCCCAGGGGCCCAGCCCGCCACCACCTCACTACTGCTGCCATCTTCCCCCGGCCCGGCCTGCGGCCCTAGCGCCCGCCCCGCGCCTCTCATTGGCCGCAGGGCGCCCCCACCCAGCTCCGCCATTGGCTCCCTCCAGGCACCGACTACTGATGTGGATCGTGTTACTGGTTGGCTGAGGAGCGCATCCGTCACTGGGCCGAACAGGGTGAGCCGCTAGCGTTCGTGCCCGCGCGAGGGGCTCTGGGAAATGTAGTGCCCTCGCCGCTTCCGGGCACGGGGCTGCTTAAAGGTACCCGGTCCCCATTTCTCGGGGCAGCGGCTGCGGGCCCTGGGTCCCCAGCGGGACTGTGACACGCACGGCCACAGTTGCCTAGCGACATGGGGACAACGGTGCCATGGTGACGGTGGCCTGGAGACAGGCGCGGTAGTGATGCGGTGACGGGACCGGGCGTGGTGCGGGGGGCCGGAGGGTGCCCCGCCCTGACTGTGCCTCCCTGCCTCAGTTTCCCCATCGAAATGCCACTGTTACTTCCGTGGCACCAGACATTGCCCAGCCCACTCCTCCCCCCCACACACACACTTCTTGGAGCCTGCGCCCATCTCAGCGGCCACGATGCACTAACAGGCCCTTTTACACCGTCCATCGCTGGTAGGATGACCAGATGGGATGAAGAAAATATCGGGACACATGGGGGGGGCGCCGGCGGAGCAAAGGAAAAAAAAAGCGGAGTCCCGCCGGCAGAGCAAAACAAAACAAAACAAACAAACAAACAAAACACAGGAGTGTGAAATATCGGCACAAATTACGTCCTGACCGAACATCGGTCGGGACACGGGACAAACGCCTAAAAATCGGGACAGTCCCGATTTTATCGGGACGTCTGGTCACCCTAATCGCCGGGTCTCCCCCTGCAGCACAGACGGACGGCTCCCTGAGCGCTGGGTCAGTGTTGCTGACCCCATTGTGTGTGGGGAAACTGAGTCACGGGCCCTAAGGTCAGTGATGGAGCTAGAGCCAGCTCTCCTGCCCCCTAGTCCTGCTGGAATACAGGGTGTCCGTGCTGCGAGAGACTCCGCAGCATCAGCAGAGCTGTGGCTCAGGGGGTGGGGAGGGACGGGGAGGCCAAAGAGGAACCAGGCGCCATCACTGTGGTGTTTGTGTCAAGAAAGTGAATAGAAATCAGCTGATGCGGCACTTTCCTTGGGTTTCTCTGAACAGAAGTGCCAGTTGTTTCTTCCTAAGGCCAGCTCCTTTGAGAAGCTAAAGGACGCTCCCCTTGGATGTAGCGAGCAGCTCTGACAGGGACTGCCAGCCTGGCTCAGCCCCAGCCTCCGCCAGTGCTCAGTGAACAGGCTGTTGTAGCCTGGCTGTTGGCATTGTTCAGCCCGGATGGGGAACGGGACTGGAACATGCTGCTTTACTGTGGCAAGGCACCTTGAATGATGTCACTTGACTCCCCTTTGTCCAGAGCTCACTCAGGGGTTGTGCAAACCATGTTGCTTACACAGCTCTGCCAATGCCTTTCAAGCCTGAGCTCCAGCACCACCTTGCTGTTCCCGTCCTGGGCTCCCCACGCACCCTGCTCTACTGATGCCCTTCAGAATCCTGACCCAGTTACTCTGGTCCTGCATCCTCACGTAGTCTGCCTCTCCACCTCAAGCCTGACTCACGGCATCCCTTCCTGGTCTCACCTTGGCCCAGCCCTCAGCAGAGGTGGAGAACCAGCCAGACTGATCTCCACCCAGGAGCAGAGCCAGCCAGACTGATCTCCACGTCTGACTTAACCCAGGAGCCCAGCTCTTCAGCAGTGATAGTCAAGGGCTGCATTAGCGTCATGCATCTTCTTGCTCTTTCTGCCTGAGCCCAAAAGCTGAAGAAGTGGGCTGTAGCCCACGAAAGCTTATGCTCTAATAAATTTGTTAGTCTCTAAGGTGCCACAAGTACTCCTGTTCTTTTTGTAGATACAGACTAACACAGCTGCTACTCTGAAGCCTTACAGGGAGTTATCTCTCTGGTCCTTGTTGCTATAGAAACACATTCCAGTGGACCATTGATTTCTGATGGCGAATTTGAGGTTACGGTTCCCAAAGGCAATGCATTAATTACCGCTTGCTTTCCACTGGGCAAGAGCAGGCATGAGACCTGGCTCTTCCTGTTTCCTGAGGTTGGGTAACAGTAGTCTGAGACTGGGGAACAGAAGGAGAGGAGTAGTGTCAGGGCATCTGTAGAAAGGTCAGAGCTGCCCAGCGAGTGATCTCCTCTTCCTGATGTCATCGGGGGCGAAATCACCAGTGCAAGTGAGAGCGACACCAGCCCGAGCGAGAGGAAAATCAAGCCCAGCTGCTCTAGGATCATGCACCTGGCAATGCTGGCAGAAGGAGTTCTTTACGTCCGCCTGGAGTGCCTGAAGGAGCTCCTTGCAGCAATGGGTCCAAATATAGCCAGCACAGAGCCTGTGTTTATAGAAGGCCCTCGTGCTAGTCTGTGTGATCATTAAAGTCACGGGGAACTTTTTCTGGCTGGCAGATAGAGCCTTGTTGGAAACTTTAAACTAGAAATCCATTTCCAGTCTTAAAAAGGGATATTCCTCCACTGTTAACATGCACTGGGTCCTTCTGATAGAGTTGCAGTGGGTTATTATTGTAAGGCACCATAGCAGTCACTAGGAGGAGGAGACAGCTCTGGTTAAGTGGAGCAAACATAATGTTGGGCATCAGGACTCCTGGGTTCTACACCTGCCTCTGCCTTGTGCCCTTTCTGTGAGTCCATCACTGTTGCAGGGCCCAGAACAAACCCTGGCTGCAGCCTCTGGCAGAAGAGAGGAATAAGAACTGGTTTCCTTGTCCCCTGGAAAAGCTGCATGAAACCCCTTGCTGGAGGTGAAGAACTGGGGCTGGATTACAGTGCCTGCCCTGGGATCATTACATTGTTTGTGAGCTATGCAGGCTGCCCAGCCAGGCCATTCCCACACACTGGCTTGTCTCTGACTCACTAGGTTTTGTTTGGTTGCATCATACACTGACATGAGTCTCCTGGAGTGCTCTAACCCCAAGCTCACCTGGTAATTGAGCACTGACACTCTGGGGTTCGGTGAACCAGCCAACTAATCACTAGCCCCACAGAATTGTCTTCATCCAAACATCCCATCACGTCCCCACACAGGCCGGCTTTGTGCAACTCAACCGTATTCAGCTGGTAGGCTCCAATAGCTGCACAGTGACTGGGCAGAGCCGTTAAGGGCCATGGGCCATTTAAAAATACTGGGGAACTAATCATTCAGGGTCAGGTTGAGCTGATCTGATGCACCTGGCAGGGCTGTTGCCCTTCTCTACTAGCTACCTGGGGCCAGCACCGAAGAGGGACTTTGCTCAACAAGGCAGCATCAAAGCTTTTAAAGGAGAAGGGCGCTCTGTGCTGAGCTGGCTAAACTCTTTATGTATTAAAGTGCTCTGAGCAGAACAAGCTTCCGTCGCTCAATATTCAGTCCGAGATGGGAACTGCCGGTACTTGGGCAAATGATCCAGGTTTGGCTGGGGCTGTCTGAGTGCCTTTGGGCCATCTGCCGAGATGCTTTTATTAGTGACTTCTTGTACATCTGTCCTATTCACTGACTCCTGACCTATCGCCGCCCGCCTCTCTGCCTCCTGGGATGGAGGTACGAGGCATGTTACCTAGCCAGGGCTGTTTGTTCCCCGGGGGTGGAGGTGCAGCCTCCTGGCAGAAGTCAGCATGTCTTAGCCCCGTTCCAAAGTCAGTCATTACATTCCACCTCTTTACATCCCTCCTGCAGTTTATCTGGGGATAGAATTTCCTTCAACTTCCTTCTTACAGCCTGATTTGAACCAGGCTGTCTTCAAATCCCCTTTAAAGGGAGTTGAGGATGGTCAGTACTGCACAGACTTGGGCCCCTAAACTGTTCCTAGCGTTACTATGAGCTGTTAAACAGCTCAGACGTTCCACCCCAGGGGTAGCTGCATTTCAGGCTTGGTGGGAGTGACCCCTGTGTGCTTTGTATAACAGTTTGCAAAGCAGTCTGGGATCCTCCAGGGATGGAGTACACTCTAGAAATGCAAGATATTTATAGACCTCCTCACATGCCAGCATTATCCAGCGGCAGGGTGCCAGGTGCACAATGCAGGTTTTCTCTGATGCCACAATAGGGAGCTCTTTCTGCATGCTGTTTGGAGGACAATCGCCTCTGCTGTAATGTGTCTGTTAAAAAACCCACCACAAGGAATGCAAAGAAATGCACCTTGGAAAACAAAATCCCAATTATACATATCAAATGACAGGGTCTAAATTAGCTGTTACAACTCAAGAAAGAGATCCTGGAGTCATTGTGGAGAGTTCTCTGAAAACATCCACTCAATGTGCAGTGGCAGTCAAAAAAGTGAACAGAATGCTGGGCATCATTAAGATAATAAAACAGAAAATATCATATTGCCTCTATATAAATCCATAGTACGCCCACATCTGGAATAATGCGAGCAGATGAGGTCGCCCCATGTCAAAAAAAGATATATTGGAATTGGAAAAGGTTCAGAAAAGGGCAACAAAAATGATTAGGGGTATGGAACGGCTTCCGTATGAGGAGAGATTAATAAGACTGGGGCTTTTCAGCTTGGAAAAGAGACGACTAAGGGGGGATATGACAGAGGTCTATAAAATCATGACCGGTGTGGAGAAAGTAAATAAGGAAGTGTTATTTACTCCTTCTCATAACACAAGAGGGATTGAAGGCTGCAGGATGGCGCTGGGCAAGCCGCCACGGTGTTGGTCCCCTTCCTGTGGTTACTGACTCCTGTGTTTTATGGCAAATTGTAAAAGTCATGAATCAACAAAGGGAAACAAGGGGCAAGGAGAGGAAAATTCCATGTGGTGGGAGGGTCACGGTGTGAGCTGAGGGGAGGGGGGGGGCGCTCAGGGGCATGATTCCCCTGCTGCGCCCTAGAGAGTATCATCATGTCCCTCTGAAGGGGCTTAGCCCCCATGTTAACTATGGGATAGCATCTTACACCCGGGGCGGGGGGGGGGGGGCAGAGAGG